GGTGCCGCGGCCCAATCTGGTGCTACAGATGTTTGCGCAGCACAGTTCTCCACCCTCGGCCCTTGCTGTGGTCGAAGTCTGGGATGGGGGTGAACCAGCTCTGGTCCCTGCCAGTTGAAAGGGCAGAACTTGCCAGCCCTCCCTGGCGGGAAGGGGTGTTACCAGAAGGTACAAAGTGCCACCGGAATGCGGAGACTCAACCAGGGAAGGCTTCATGGCGAGTGGCCTGGAGCTGAATGTTGAAGGCAGAGGGAAGGGAGGGGGCAAAGGCCTGGAGTGGGAGTCTGGGCTGCTCCCTGGGTGGGGTTGTGGGGGCAGGCAGTGGAGTGGCCCACAGCAGGAGGCTGGGTTTGGCTGGGGGAAGAGAAGGAGGGGGCTGGGGCGACCAGGGACAGGGCACCTCTGAGTTTCAGGTGGGCAGTGAGGGCCGTCTCCCCCAGCCCTGTCCTGGGGCAGGTCTGCGAAGCCGTGTGTAACCTGGCACGCGACTGCCGTTTATTGAGCACTTGCTGTGGGGGGGCCTCTCGCATTATGATGGCCATTTAACAGAACCAGGCTTTGAGGAGTTAAGCCACTTGCCCGAGGTCGCCCAGCTAGGCCTGGCAACTGTTTGAACCACATCAGGTCCCTCAGCTACAGGGGTCATCCCACCCCTGGCGCCTTCCCTCTCCCTGGCTAGGGCCTCGGGGGTCCAGCCTCAGCCTTGCCCTGGCCAGAGGGGGTGGGGTGAGGCGGGAGAGGCAGTCAACCCTGCTGGGCTCAGGCCCCTCTCCCACCATTCTGAGCAGTGACTTCCACAGCCTCTGGTCTGTGCAGTGGAAGGTGCCCCAGGCCCAGCTGGCTCTGCGCACCCCCACCCTCCCTCAGGGCTGTGACCTGGCTGGGTGATCGCTGGTCACCGGGGGCCAGGAGGCGCCTCCCAGCCTGAAGACTGGGGCTCAGTATGGCAGTGAACCCCTGAACTAGAGCTGGGTGGGGAAGAAAGATGAAATATCACAGCCCCACCCTGGAAACCCTTCTCTGATGGGGTGGTATCACCCCTTCCACCTCAGGAAGCCCCAGTCTGATGGGGAGACGGGGCCCCTGCCCTGGGAGTGCCCTGTCTGATGGAGAACGGGGTTGTGGTGGCTGAATAAGATGGGCTTGCAGGCTCGTGCCCCAGCACCTGGCACGTGGGAGGTGCCTGGCAAATAAACGGTGGCTGTTGGAGCTTATCCACCACCCAGCACAAGCCTCGGTCTGTGCAGTGGCAGGTCCTCTGGGAAGGTCATCTCCTCCCTAGAGTGGACGGGCCAGTCTGACGGAAGGGCCAGTCTGACGGGTTCCGTTGCCGGACTGGGCCATGCGTGCTGGGGTGGGGCCTCTGGGTGGAAGGTAGATTTCCTTTCTCCCCTGGGCTCACACCTCTTGCTTCTTGCTGCAGGCAAGGGTAGTTAGGTGTGGCCTAACTATCGATTGAGATGCTGTATATGAAAATGCCTGGCCCCCGTGGTCCGCACACCTGGGGATGGGGGTGGGGGGGGCAGGGACAGCTGGCTGGCAGGCAGGTGGCTTTCTGCAGGAAGCAGAAGGAACTACCCGACCCAGGCCCTCCCAGCCCGGGGTTCCCTTTGGTTATTCCTCAAACCTGGGACTTTCGAAGCCACAGCTTGGACGACCTGGCCTTCAGTCCCCAAAGCTGAGAAAGCGGAGAAATCCACAACTCGGCCCTCTCCTCACGCCTTCTCCTGGGGACCTGGCTTTTACCGGAGCCGGATGGTGGGACCCCAGAGGTCCCTGCTATACAGCCGGGTGCTGAGTCCCAGGTGTCCGGGCACTAACCGGACCAGGCTAGTGTCAGCCCTATGACCGGGAGGGGGGTGGCCTTTTGCTTCCGATTAACTCAATTCAACTAGTATCGACTGATGAGTTCCTCGGCCCTGTGACAGCCCTGAGGACACAGCCACCCACCAGCACATGTAATTAATAAGGACTTCCCCACCCACAGTAGACGGTATGGGCAGAGACTTCTCTCCTGGTCACCACGGTATCCCCGGTCACAGAAGGTGCTCAATACATGGTGAATGAATTGAGTGAGTGAAGTGAATGCCTGAAACACTGTTCCCCAAGGGATCCTCAGTCAGTAAAGGAGACAGGCATGGGACCCCCAAGCACAAAACTATTGAATTTGTACACTTTAAATGGTACATTGGCAGGCATGTGAATCATCACTCAATAAAGCTCTTTGAAAAAATAGAAAATTGGCTATTATTAAAACTTGAATGGGAAGTTGTAGGTAATGAGAACATATTACTGTCTTACAACATTCCTACTCATGTAGTCATTACACAGTCACCTGAAGGCCTCCTATGCATGAAGAACTGGTGGTCAGGTGAGAGAGGAGTAAAGAATTTCATTCACCAGAGCAGCGATTTTCAACCTTCTTCCCTTCATGGCACACAAACTAATTACTAAAATTCTGCAGCATACCGAAAAATATATTTTTGGCTGATCTGACAAAAAGAATAGGAAAATTTTGATTCCTTAACACCAGATGGCGATTGTGTTGGCTGTTGCCATGTTTTTATTCGACAGTCTAAGGGAAAAGAGGTCAGTGCCCCTGACTAAACAGGTATTGCATGTTTTAAAAATCCTTGCAGCACACCGGTTGACTATCTCTGCACTAGACCAAAGAAATAGAGACATCAGTGTATGTGTGTATACACACACACACACACACACACACACACACCAGGTGTCTGTTCATTCCTCAGAACATTCACTGAGCACTTACTCCAAGTTGAAAAGCTTCACAAAGTAGCAACAGGGATGAGTATGTCTATGTAGTAAAAGTTTTAAAGATAATAGGAAATATCTAAGAATAGAAAAAAAACTTAAAATATTATACCACATTTAAATATATTTCAGAGACTTGATTTCTTTAAATTATGAGGTTATAGATATAAAATGTTTATAGTCTCGCCCAACCAGCATGACTCAGTGGTTGAACATCAACGTATGAACCAGGAGGTCACAGTTCAATTCCTGATCAGGCACTTGCCTGGGTTGTGGGCTTGATCACCTTTGGGAAGGGTGGGGAGGGTACTGAAGGAGGCAGCCAATCAATGAGTCTCATCATTGATGTTTCTATCTCCCTCTTCCTCTCTGAAATCAATAAAAAATATATTTTTAAAAATAAAATGTCTATAGTCTCAATTTTGTCATTTAAAAAGTTGCTTGAACAATCAGAGAAGTGATACAAATTATAATGAAACCAGAAAAAAATAGCACCAACTAGTTATAAGTACCTGTTGCCCTAACCGGTTTGACTCAGTGGATAGAGCGTCAGCCTGGGGACCGAAGGGTCCCAGGTTCGGGTCCAGTCAAGGGCATGTACTTTGGTTGCGGGCATATCCCCAGTAAGGGAGTGTGCAGGAGGCAGCTGATCGATGTTCCTCTCTCATTGATGTTTCTGACTTTCTATCCCTCTCCCTTCCTCTCTGTAAAAAATCAATAAAATATATTTTAAAAAAAGTACCTGTTGAATAACCCACCTGTTTCCTATAGGGCCAGAAAGTGAATTGCAAAATCACTAACTCCTCAAAGTATTTGTAGGAAGCAGATGTGCTGAGCAAAGTAACAACACGACAAGGTGTTAAGTGACCTTGGTTTTCCTACTGAAGGTTTTACAAATTTTAGTTATATTGAGAAAATAATTATGAGATTTTTAACATTTAAATTCTAGAACATATAATTTATAACGTTTACTTACAGTGTTTGGAATGAGACATACTTATTAAGATTTTGCTATACGGGCTGACAAACACAAGCAAAAGGTTCTCCCTTGGCCCCCTGCTCACTGTTAAGTGGAGGAGACGGGTCTGCTCTGGCTTGTGATGAGGGTTCCCCGCCCAGCGACTGGCCCCAAGGAGGTACCACAGATTCCCTGTCCTCCAGCCCCTTGAGTGTCCACTGGTTCCTGGAGCATAAGTGCACTCGGTCAGCGATAGGCAGGCTGTGGCGGACGCAGGAGAGAAAAGGTGAACCATCGCCACCTAGGACAGCGCCTTCAAAGTGGGAATGAAACTGTCCAACTTCAGTATCGGTCTCTCAAGAGAGAACATCTTAACTTAGTGGGTCATGCCAGGGGGAGGAGAGGAGGCCTTGACTGCAGGGCACCAGGCTCCATGGAGGGGGTGGCACCAAAGAGAAGGGCCTGGAGGCCAAGTCCGCAATGCCCACCCACCCTGCCAGCGGAGGAGGGTCCCACAGGCCTGCCACCCAGCAGCTGCTTGGTCAGTGACGTGAATGGACAGGGAATCTTGGGACCTGCGGCCCCAGAAGACCCCTAGAAGCCGACCTGTCAGGATGACAGCAAGGGAGCAGGTGGGAGGGCCTTGGGGAAACAGGGAATGCGGGGTTACCCACCTGAGCCCTCACACTTGGAGAGATGGAGACCTCCGTCCCAGGGTGCCTGGGGTTCATGCAGCCCAGCCCCAAAGGCTGGCTCCTGCCACCCCACCTCACCAAGGCTGCCTCCCGTTATCAGGCACCAAAGGGCAGCTTCGGGAAGCATCTAGTGAGCCCGTGCGGGTGGAGGGAGGGGCCGCCCTAATGCTGCCCAACCCCAAGCCTGCCACCCGCAGCTTGTGGACCCAGAGGGCTAGTCAACCACCCAGGGCTCCTTGGCATGCGTGAGGGGCCCTGCAGCCACCGTGCTAGCCTCCGTGCAGAGAAACGAGTGGCTGGGAGGTGGCCCTGAGTCAAGCTACAAACACTCCTTTTGCTTTTTCCTTCACCTAAGAAACCTGCTGTCAGAGCCCACTGTTCCCAATCTCACCAGCCTGACTTAGCATCAAAACATGGGCAGTGACGGCTCCCATGGAAGCTTCTGGAAGGCAGAGTAAGATCAGGCCTGGCATACATGACAGTCACAATTTCTGGGTTTCAAGTGTTATTTCTGGTCACATGATTGAACACCTATCAAAAGGAAAAGCATTTATTCACCACTGTGTGTGCCAGGCACTGCTGCCCGCACCCCACGAGGCTGTCCCCGTCCCACATGGCAGTGCCTCTGGGCCACGCACCGAGGGTCCCCAGCGGCCGCGTGGGAGCTGTAGGGCCGGGGCCTCCTCTCCAGCTTGTCCTCCGCACCTGCACTTGGAAGGAACCGTGTGGGGGTCTCTCCTGCTCCTATTTCTATCGCAATGAAGATGCCCCATCTGAACCTTCTCATCAGAACAAGCAGAGCGGGTCAGAGGTGTCACGGTTCCAGGCACCTCAAACCAGGGGGACAGCCGGGGTGTGGACCCTACTGCAGGCCATGGCCTCTGCTGCTGTGAGGCCTTGGGTGCCTTCCCTCAGCTTCCTCCAGGCTGTGGTGAATGAAGATAGTGTGTGCTGACCCTCACAAGGTAGGTGTTGGCTAAGATGGAAGGGAAGTGGGGAGCAGAGACAAAAGCCCCGGACCGCCCACTTCATGACTGGTGTGACTTCAAGTCGCCCCAGCCCTGCGGGGCGGGTAAGGCTGGGGACTCTGGGAGGGAGGGGTTGAGAAGCAGCTCTGGGCTCTGCAAAGACCCCTTTTCTTCTCGCTCAAGGCAAGTCCACACTTCCTCCACCCGACACCTTACCCGGCCTGCTACTCGCCCACCTGGGTCAGCCCTTGGGGCCAAGGTCACACGCGCTGGCAGAGTGAGGCAGGTGAGAAACAACACAAGGCCAGTGCTGCGTCCCAGTTTCTTTTTATTTATTTTTTTGTTCTTTTTTTCCTTTTTTTTTTTTTAAGTATGGAAGCTCAAGTATAAGATGTAGATTTTTTTTAAGCTTACAAAAAAAAACAAAATAAAACAAAAAACTCCTTTTGCATTTTAAAAATTAATATTTAATATTTACATATATTTTTAACTGCATCCCAGTTTCTTTTTATTTCTTTTCTGTTGTTTCTTTTTTTTTTTTTAAGTATGGAAGCTCAAGTATAAGATGTAGATTTTTTTTAAGCTTTACAAAAAAAACAAAATAAAACAAAAAACTCCTTTTGCATTCCATAAAAATTGACAGAAAAGCACCTGGCCAGAAGAGCAGACGGTCGAGGCCCCCGCCCCCACAACGTGGTCTCCGAGGCCAGGGGCCAGCGTGCAGGACAGTGCTGAGGGCCACCTCTCCTTCCTCCCAGAGCTGTCCCCTGCTCCCCACCCCAACCCCAAGCAACTCCCAAACACACGTGGAATCAGATTTCCAGTTTTTCTTCTTTCACACACCACAGTTATTTCATAAAATTTTTTTGTTTTACATTTTTTACACCAATGTAACAAAAAGGTGGGAAGGAAGGGGAGGCAGACAGACAGTGTATTTTATGCCTATAAATGGGGGGGGGGCGGTGGGGAGGGAAGGAGAGGCAGGCAGTGTATTTTATAGCTATAAATGGGTGTTGGGGAGATAGGGGATTGGGGCAAACAAAACACACATGGTCACTATGGAAACATAGAGTTTCATAGCAAAACGTGGTGGGAAGCAGGCCTTGGAGACAGAGGGTATTAGCGGCTTTATTCTCAGGGTGTGATGGCGCTGTGCAGGTCGGTGACGCAGGTGTTGTGTGACCTGTCGGGGAGGAAAGGGACAGGGAAGGGAGCAGAAAACGAGTTTTCTAAGAAAGGAATCTAACGAGTGCATGGCATGTCCGGTTAGCATGAAGCAGAGGTTTAACATTGCTGCTTTCTCTTCAAAGCCTCCACCAGGTCGTTCTTAAGAGCTTCTTGTTTTGATTTGTCCGCAAAAGTCTGCACAGACCTGCCAGGGAGGAAAAGAATTGCCGTTAGCAGGCTTCACAGGAAGAGGGGCGCTGAGGGTCTGGGTCTCTGGGCAACATGGGCCCATCTAGAGGTCAGAGCAGTGCCAGCGAGATGTGGAGGGAGCAGAGCCCGAGGCGGCACCCTCAGCACCGCGCCGGCCCCTCAGGGAGGCCCGGGGCCCACCCCACCTGGCACATGCTCAGCTCTGCACCAGGCTGGGTGACTTGGCCACAGCTCCAGGACCCTGGTCCACTCCTCACCAGGAGGACCCCGTCACAAAGCTTCCCCCTCACTGCACCCGGCCCAGCAGGAGGCTCGATGCTGCCCCATGAGTGCAGAGTGCACAGGGTGCACAGCAACCCCCGCTTAGCGAGGGTTTAAGAACCAGCGCCTGGACATCTGAGCACACGGGGTTCAGAGCCAGGGCAGAACTCAAAGGACCAGAGCTTCAGGCTTTTGCTATGAGGCTCCATCTGCCGTTAGCTTGGCCAAGAAAGGCCCGCTCTGGATTCTGAGAGGCAGCAGGGAACTGAGGCAAGGCCCGGGGTCCCTGCTGTCGAGGCCTGGCTGTGGGAAATGAGTGCGTCCACGCACAGTGGTAACACTGCTCGGCAGAGCTAACAGGTAGGCTCGTGGAGGCTGTACAATCACAAAGCGCTTTCACACACTTTCTCATACGCGACAGCGTCCAGGAGACAGTGTTATTTCCAATTCATTGGTAAGGAAATGGAGGCCCAGAGAAATGCCCTGGCAACGACCCAAATGACCACTTGGTCAGGTTTACCCAACGTGTTGGTTAACCAGGAACCTGTTAATTGTGTTACTGATGCATCTGAATAGCTCTCAAGCAGCAGGGGGGGGTGGGGGGCTGCCTCTCAGGAACCTGTGGACGGGAATCAGTTTCACGCACCGGCCGTGAAAGAGTGGAAGGAAGGGTTGAAATACCCCAAATGCCGAAAATAGGTGAAGTGCGATGAAGGGGGGCCCAGGAGAAACAGCATCCGAGGTGAATGCTGGCTACCGAACCCTGGAAAACCCTGGCAGCACCCTCAGGATGGTGAGAGTGCAAAGCAACAGACAAGATTTTGAGAGAATCTGCATACAACTGGAAAATGCCCATGAGACATGCCGCGTTTTGGTTGATGCTGCCGAAATACACATTTCTGATTGTCTGGAACGGCCCTGGCTCGGCGCTGACAAAGGAAGGGTCAGACGCAGCCATGTGGCCCTCGGGCTCCAGTCTCAGCCAGTCCACCAGGGGCTTCCAGAAGGGCTCCAACGGAAGTTATTGTGACCGGCGGGAGGACAGGGTGAGCGAAGCAGCAGCTCACACGGTCCTCGGCCTGGGAGGACAGCTCCGGCTCTGGGGATGGCCCCAGCCTGCAGCACACCAGCACCCACCCCACAGAGGAGCAAGTTTCCGTTAGAATCGGAGTTAGAGTCAGTCAGAGAGGTTAGACTTGGGCAGCTGGAGGGATAAGGACTAGGCCACTCATTCAGGGGATAGAGCTGGGAAGGTTATTGCAAGCAACTCGAACCAGCGCCCGGAGGGAGCACTCACTCAGTGTGGGAAGGCGGCTGTCCTGACAGACGGTGGGTGCCAGGCTGCCCAGCGCTGCAGAGGGCTTCAAAGCTGGGGAGGCTCCAGTGGGCAGCCACTGGATGCCAAGGCCAGGGGCCCAGAAAACCCTAAAAGCTGAGGGGGAGGACACTATGATGGGACACCTGGAGAAGGGGTTTCTCATCGCTGCGGTGGGAACATGATGGTCCCAGCATGAGGCTGGAGGCTGACAGATGCCTTGGGCCTGGAGCTGGTGCACACACGGCCCGGACCAATGCGCTCCAGTCCCACAGACGAGAAGAACGCCTCTGCCTGGTTCCATAAGGGCCCCACTCAACCCGCCCCCGAGGCCCCACTGAGCCGCTTCCGGGTTGGGCTTTAGTGTCCAGTCCCCGGCCTGGGGCTGAGCCCCTAGGCCAGGCCTTCGCTCTGCCTGGCTGGGTTTTCAAACACCTGATGTAAAACCAGTGTCCCTCATCCTCTCGGGGTTGCTACTTTCATATTTGTCATGGTTCTCGGCCATTATCAACATGCAAGGCTGTTTTCCTCCCCGTCAGTGCAGGGCGGGTAAGAGGGCAGCTGCAGCTCGTTAGGGTGGTCCAGCAGCTCCAGCAGCAACCAGTCGGGGTGCATGGGGCCGGTGAGGGGGACGACAGCCCCCACTCTGCGCGCTGTCCTCACACTCACAGCAATGCACCCCTTTCTATCAGCTGGCCCCGAGGACCCTTGGTGGGAAACTGGGGAGGACAGGCTGCACACAGAGCTGATGCGGAGGGCTGTCCTGAAGCACGTGAGTGAACGTGGGACATGGACCCTGGCTCTGCGGCCACCAAAGCCGCGCCGACCTGAGGCTTCTGCTGGAGGCAAGCGGGCCCCTGGACTGGACGTCTACAGGAGCCAAAGCCAACCCCCGTCTGCCCACACCCAACCCCGCCCCGAGTGCCACACACACCCCGCACACACGATACGAGTCCATGTTACATGGGGCTGAATCTACGTGTTAATGTGGCTGCTCACAGCCGTGAGCGGACACAGGGGTTAGTGGTGCTTTGAGGGATGGTCGGCGGCTTGGTGAGTCCTGTTTAGTGGGAGGTGCTCGCCTCTCAGGCAGGGTACCTGGACCGGCCTAGTTATCAGGCTGGATGTGGATCTGCCGCTGGGTCAGCACTTGGGACAGCTCCCTCTGCAACTGCTGAAACTTGGGGTTGTCAGGGATAACGTCAACAGATCTACGGAGAGTGTGCAGAGGTGAAGGCCGGCGCGGCGACAGCACGGACCGGAGCACGCGGGCGGGGACAGTGGAGAGGAGGGAGGAGGGGGACGCACAGGCGGAAGGAAGGGGCCTGTCACCAAGGCCACGCTGCTCTGGGCTGTGGTGTGGAGGTCACAGGGCAGAGCTCTGAGCTGGCAGTGGCCACGGTGTCTGGGGCACTGACTGCGAGCTCAACAGCCAGAGGAAAGCAAGGTTGCCTGAAGGGGAGAGGGGGGATGAAACCCAGCAGGGGCCAGACCATGTCCCCACAGGCGGGATGGAAATGGGGGACGATGAGGGCCCAAAGGGGAATCCTCGCTATTGGGAAACTGTATGAGTAGGAGACTAAAAACCTGTCTGCTGTGCAAATTCACAAGTCAGGGCAGCCAAGGAGGAGTGAGAGCCTTGGATTCAGGACCACGCTGGGCTGCAGAGCGGACGCCTCTCCTCCCCCCAGCCCTGTCTCCCTGACTGGGAGGCCCCCTGAGAGGAGCGGCTCGCCCACGGTCACCCAGCTCTGCAGAGCATGCTCAGACACTGGCCGCCTGACGCCACGGCCTCCACTGCCCCTGGCGGCTCCGGCCTCCTGCTCTGCCACCACGGACCTCCAGGACCCAGAGAGCCTGCCAGCTTTCACTTGGCCGACACTGGACACTGTAGAACCGAGGGCCTGGGATGGGAAGAGGGCAGCTCAGGACCCTAGCCACAGCCACAGAGCCAGGCAGAGGACATCAGAGTGGCCGGGGGTCCTCTCCAGAAAGCAGCAGGCGAAAGGGCTCTTTCTGCTGCCCGGAAACCCAGCCAACCAGAGGCCTGGCAGCCTGGCAGGCCGCCCCCTGTCGCGAATCTTAGGGTCTGCTTTGGAGGTCCCCTCAGATCCCAGAGCCAAAGGGCTGGGCAGTTTCTTTAGATGAGACTGACACCTGGAGGCCAAGAGGAGGCCGACTTCAGGGATGAGGGTGTCGGTGGCTGTTAAAGGGGAACGTCCCCCACATGACAAGCGTGAGGTAGGAACCAGCATCTATTGAGAATGCAAACATGTACCCAGTGCTTTCCCGTTCAGAGTCTGCACATCAGTCCTATAAGGTGGGCACTTTACTCCCAACAAGGAAGCTAGGCTCAAGGGCATATAGCTATTAAGCAGCAGACCTAGGATTCAAATCCGTTTCTTTTTGGTTTCCAAAGCTTGTACTTTTGGGTACATTACCTCAGCCCATTGACGATGTCCTTTGTTTTTCCAAAGTAGATCTCATTCAGCGTACTTCTGATTTTATTTTCCATGTCCTGGGGAGGGAGGTCAGTCAGACATTCAGCAAACAGCTGGGAGTCCTGACGTCCACACCCTCCCACCAGCTCACCACTGCAGTCCCCGCTGTGACCACAGGGGGGAAGCGCACGACTGTGCAGAAGCCTGGGGAGCGAGCCCCAGCAGCCAAGACCCCCACCTATCACTTGTGCTCTGCGCACTTTCCCGTCCACAGGCTGGCAGGAAGCCCATATGCAGGTACTGGCGGCCAACACTGGCCACTACTGGGAGGGGGTCTAAACCACACCACCCCTTGCTTCCAAAAGGTGTGGTGAAGGGAAGCCAGTGGGGCCCAGGGGCCTGCTTCCTTGTCAGGCCTCCGCTCTCCGGGGGCAGGCGTAGGGCTTCCTGAGCAGACTCTTCTCGGAGAATGTTTTGAGGGAGGGTAGGGGGATGCCTTAGAAGCTGTGCCCTGTGGCACCTGGATCACAGGCTCAGAAAACACAAGGCCTGGGCAAACCACGAGGAACACGGCCTTGGCTGCTATGGAATGGGAGGAAAGACAGGCTCCAGGGGCAAAACATCAGATGCTGTGGAGGCGAACCAGAGCCCCGAGGGCCACTCACCTCTACCAGGCGTCCAATGTTGGCTATGTGTGGCGAGGAGTCGCTCACAGTTTCATCTTTCTCCATCTGCAAAAGACAAGACATTCCTCCAAGTTAGAGAGAGCCAGGCGCTCTCCGAGAATGGC